AAAGCATGTCAATAACTTCACGAAGTTGCTTTCGAATATGGCCAATGTGGACATCATGGTTGAGGATAAAGACAAGACGATGTTGTTATTGTGTTCGTTGCCGGAGGATGATTATGGTATCTTTATTCTTACTATGATCAATGGAAAAACCACTATTAGCTATAAGAAGGTGACCTCAACATTGGTGAATTATGAGTTGAGGAAGAGTGATGGTGAACCCTCCGAGAAAGTATCGGTAGATGCATTAGCAGTTCGAGGCCGTAGTCCAAACCGCCGCAAATTCAACCGCTCAAAGTCAAAGAATAGAGGTGACCATAAGAGTGTTGGTAGAAATCAATGTGCATTTTGTAAAGAAAAGGGACATTGGAAGAACGAATGTCCAAAGTTGAAGGATAAAGCTAGGAAGAACAAGGGAACAATTGTACAAACTTCAGAGGTGAATGTTGCCAAAGCTGTCAGCGATAATTCAGATTCGGATTCTTCGGGCTACTTTTGCCCTGCACTACCATCAGTTTGCTATGCCGACTCTACGGAGTGGATGTTAGATTCAGGTGCTACATACCATATTTACCCTAGGAGGGATTGATTTTTCAGTTTTGAGGAGTTAGAACGAGGGGATGTCGTACTTATGGGTAATGATCACGTATGCCCTATTGATGATATTAGTACAGTCCGGATCAGGATGTATGACGGTGTGACTAGGGAGCTGAAGGAAGTGAGGTTCGTTCCACAGTTGACGAAGAATATCATTTCTCTTGGGACTTTAGAGGCAGCAGGCTATCGTGTGATCTTAGAGAATGCCATTTTGAAGGTCACAAAAGTGTATATAATAGTGATACAAGGTGTCAGGGAAAACAACCTATACTACTTGAAGGGCAAGACAGTTACAGGGATCTGGCAGCTTCTATCACTATAGAGGAGGATACTACCAACTTATGACATATGAGATTGAGACACACTGTTGATAAGTCCCTGCAGACATTAGCGAAACAAGGGCTATTAAAAGGTGAAAAGATCTACAAGATGGAGTTGTGTGAGCATTGTATACTTGGAAAGAAGACTAAAGTGAAGTTTGACACCGTAATTCACAACACTCAAGGTATATTGGATTATATTCGTACAGATGTTTGGGGTCCTTCCAAGCATACATCACTTGGTGGGGCAAACTATTTTGTCATTTTTATTAATGACTATTCCAGGAGAAATTGAGTATATACCATGAAGCATAAACATGAGGTCCTGGATATTTTTGTGGAATGGAAGAAGAAAGTGGAGATGCAGATAGGTAAAAAGGTGAAAACACTTAGTTCAGATAATGGTGGAGAGTATAAGAGTGATCTATTTCTGCAGTTTTGCCGAGATCACGACATTAGGTGACACTTCACCGTTCGAGAAACATCGCAACAAAACGGGATGGCTGAGAGATTGAACCGTACCTTGTTGGAGTAGTGCGATGTATGATGTCACATAGTGGATTGTCGAGATCCTTTTGGGCAGAGGCGTTGGTTTATGCAAGCCATCTCGTGAATAGGTTACCGTGCACTGCGATATAGGGGAAGACTCCTATGGAGCTATGGTATGGTTTGGTAGCTATTGACTATGAGTTACTTCGGATATTCAGGTGTCCAGCTTATTATCATGTCAATGATGAAAAATTAAATTCGAGGGAGAGGAAAGCAGTCTTTGTGGGCTTTAGAGAATGAGTTAAAGGCTTCAAATTGTAGGATCTACAGGACAAGAAGATAGTTATTAGCAGAGATGTCACGTTTGATGAGGCGTACATGATGAGGCCTCAAGTCCCTTAGCAGGTGGAGGAAGACTAGTCTAGTAGGATATCATAGCAGGTGGAGGATGATGTGACTCCACCCACTTCAGATAACATTGTATCCATTGAGGCTCCTACAGAGGTGATACTGAGAGGAGATGAGATGACAAACGAGTATTTGGAGGATACAATAGATGGTGAGACTCGGGAGCATGGTCATGTTTAGGAGTCGATTGTAGCAAATAGACCTAGAAGGGTGATTCGTCGGCCAACTAGAAACAATGATGTGTTGGTTGCATATGCTTTATTAGTGAAGGTCGTTGATGATTTGGTCCCTTCTACATATAGGGAGGTAGAGTCTAGCTCTGATTCGATCAGGTGAAGGGAAGCTATGGAGGAGGAGATGCACTCTCTTCAGAAGAACGAGACTTGAGAACTTGCAAAGCTACCAAAGGGAAAGAAGACTATTGGATGAAAGTGAGTATATGCAAAAAAAGAGGAATCTTCTATTGGGGATATTCGGTACAAATCCAGATTGGTTGCCAAAGGGTATGCCCAGCTTGAGGGCGTTGATTACAACGAGGTATTTTTACCTGTTGTGAAGCATTCGTCGATTAGAATTCTTTTGGCATTGGTGGTACAATTGGATTTGGATTTGGTCCAGATTGATATTAAAACAACCTTTCTACATGAAGACTTAAAAGAGGAGATCTACATGACACAACCCATGGGGTTCAGAGTTGCAGGAAAAGATGATTTGGTGTGCAAACTGAAGAAGTCTCTTTATGGATTGAAACAATCGCCGTGACAATGGTACAAGAGATTCGACAGTTTTATAATTGGTCAAGGATACACGAGGAGCCCATATGACCCATGTGTTTACATGCACAAGCTACATGATGGTGAGTATATTTATTTATTGTTATATGTTGATGATATGCTTATTGATTTCAGGAATTCTTCGGCTATTCAAAAGTTGAAAAATGAGTTGTCATCCGAGTTTGAGATGAAGGATCTTGGAGAAGCTAAGAAGATATTAGGTATGGAGATTGAGAGAGACAGGGTGAAGGGGAGATTGAAGCTGACACAGTGGAGCTACTTACAAGATGTTAAAGAAATTCAGCTTTGATGGCAATGCCAAGGCGGTGAGCACTCCATTGGCTCTCCACTTCAAGCTTTCAGCTAAGATATCATCTGTTTCAGTTGAAGATAGAGAGTACGTATTAAAGGTTCCATATGCCAATGCGGTTGGTAGCTTGATATATGCGATAGTGTGTACGAGGCCAGATTTGTCACATGTCGTGAGCATGGTGTCTAGGTACATGTATGACCCCGAGAAGGGTCATTGAGAGGCCGTGAAGTAGATTCTATGGTATATCAAAGGTACTGTGGATGTTGGTTTGGTATTTCAGAAGAATGAGAAGATTGGACAGGATTGTATTGGTTATGTGGATTCTGATTATGCAGGAGATCTTGACAAGTACCGGTCTACTTTAGGATATGTATTTACATTAGCAGGAGCATCGGTGTGTTGGAGATGTACACTTCAGTCTATAGTGATTCTCTCTATTACGAAGGCGGAGTATATGGCGGTGACTAAAGCTGTAAAGGAGGCTTTGTGGTTGCACGGATTGTTGGATGACTTGTGGATTGCACAGGAGACCATTCGGGTGTATTGTGATAGCATGTTAGCTATCTATTTGGCAAAGAACCAGGTCTATCATGCACGTACAAAGCACATTGATGTAAGATTCTATTTTGTTCGAGATGTCTTAGATGATGGAGATGTCATTTTGGAGAAGATTCACACAAAGGACAATCCTGTGGATATGTTGACCAAAGTTGTCTCGGGTGTGAAGTTTAGTCATTGTTTAGAGTTATTGAACATTCTTCGATGTTGAGGGCGATTGCACAGGAGACCATTCGGGTGTATTGTGATAGCATGTTAGCTATCTATTTGGCAAAGAACCAGGTCTATCATGCACGTACAAAGCACATTGATGTAAGATTCTATTTTGTTCGAGATGTCTTAGATGATGGAGATGTCATTTTGGAGAAGATTCACACAAAGGACAATCCTGTGGATATGTTGACCAAAGTTGTCTCGGGTGTGAAGTTTAGTCATTGTTTAGAGTTATTGAACATTCTTCGATGTTGAGGGCCTTTGAAGGTCATTTGGGTGAACTACGTGAGGCTTGATTCCTTGGACAAGAGGATACATAGGTAGTCATTTTTTATGCAGCCGGTTGGAGTAGTTGATATCGACGGGGGGAGGTTGTCTGAGCCTCGTTTGGGTTTCCGACTTATTGTGGATTGAGTCTGTTATCATGGATTTACTCCACTTCGTACTGGACGCAACACGTAGGACATTTGGTTGTTTTTGGTTTTGGCTTAGTTTTGGGAAAAACTTCACCGAGGTAGAGATTTGTAGAATTGGCAAATACATTTGAAAAGTTCAGGATAATACAAACAGGAAATACTTTTGGTGCTTTCTGATCGACCGCTGAGCAAGTCCGGTCGATCGAAAACGTGCACACTACAGGGTGCATTTTCGGATTTCTGGTCGGTCAACTACGGCGTCAAGTGCGGTCGACCGCGGACCCTATAATCGATTTTTGAGTTTCTATCATTATGTCCGGTTGACCACGAAGTCAAGTGCGGTCGACCGCGACTCGGGTTTGAGCCTGGGCTTTGTTTTCTGATCCGTCTTGTTTTGAGTTGATATATAACCCTAATCACGATTATTAGGGTTAATTGGGAGAGACGATTTTGAGCAGTTTGAGATAGTTTTGTGCATCCTTTGAGGGAGAATTGGTGAGAGATTTTGAGAGCTTTGTTTGAGGGTTTTTGTTGAGATTATAAATCCTATTTGTATTCTCTTTATCTCTAATAGTAATAACTCCCCCTCCTTGCCCCGTGGACATAGACAACTTGCCGAACCACGTAAAATTCATTTGTCTTACTGTGGTGATTGTGTTTTACTTATTGGTTGTGATCTATCTCGTTCTTGTTCGTGCTCTTTCGTGTGTTTCGAGTTCCGCTGCGTACAACATTGACACACCATTGACACTCCCGTTCGCCAACAAGATAACTTGAATTACAAGACCAAGAAACTTTGACGTAGCAAAAGCCTTCAAACACCATGTGAAGTAAATAAAACAGAAGAACATGTAAGTCACAAGATAGAAGGAAATCAAATAGAGGTGAAAACAGTCGGTCCTTGGAGCAGCATATGTTCTATAAATTCTTGAGTCCGAGATATTCCTATAATCGGTATCATTAGATATAAGTATTCACAAGACGATGATTAATTAAGTAAACAGTAGATGATAACAACAGGAAAAGGAACATACTATCAACCAAAGCGTAACCTAAGCTTCACAAGCTAAGGCAGTTGACGTCTCAGGAACCGGGAGCTGGGACATGTATTCCTTTCTTATCTTCTGCAGCCTGGGAGCCACAAGTGTCATTGGAAGTCTTTCCATGGGTGATGCGCTTGAACATATCAAACCCAACTCGATAATAGATGACAGGCACTGGTTTGTGGCAGATAAACCTTCTGCTTTATGCGCAGCATTGGGACCCTCTTCTAAAAGATCGTGATCCACAACATTCAACAAAGAAGCTGAATATGCTTCGAGTATCCACGCTCTCATACTTGATTCTCCACTGAACATCGCATCAGTTGGCTTCTTTCTCGTGATCATTTCCAACAGAAGGATTCCAAAACTGTAGACATCGCCAAACTTTGAGACGGTTCCCGTGGAGCCATATTCTGTTACAGGCATCATTTTCAGTGAACCAATTGGATTAATCCTATCAGCACGCAGAAAGACACATAGAGAACAATGTTTTAGAAGTTCAGCTCTCAAAGTTAAGCTTCACTGAAAATTTATTATGGACCATTCAACGAATGATTTGTATCCCTAAACTTTATGAATACAACTTAGGGATGAAGAGTGAAGTAGCTTGATATATTTTTAGTTCACAACTGGAGGTCAATTCATAAGTTATGATTATTCAAACCATGAATACTACAGGCAATTAGAAAGAATGAATCAGCTAAGTGCCTCACGCGCACGCGCTCACACACACAGAGATGTATGTGTTAATACACACGCACATATGTACGTACATATGTATGGGGAAAAATGTATATGAGCTAACGGCTCATTTTGCAAAATGAGCTACCCACTAATGTCAATAGTGTTTAGGCCCACCTAGTTGTTGCATCGGGTGGGTGTGGGGTCTTGTGTGTAAGCGGACAGCTCATTTTGCACAATGAGCTGTCAGTTCATACCGATTACCGTCATATATATATGTGTATGTGTGTGTAACTTATTTTTAGGTATACCTGGAGCGATGTAACCCATGGTGCCTGGTGTGCTGGCTGATACTATAGACTTATCACCAAACAGCAATTTCGCAATGCCAAAGTCACTCACATGTGCCGTCATTTCTTCATCCAACAAAACATTGCTTGGCTTCAAATCGCAATGGAGAACAGTATGAGGATGGCGATGATGAAGATATTCAAGTGCCAATGATACGTCCACCACTATGTTTAGCCTTTGAAGTAAACCGAGATGGGCATCAGAATACAACCATTGATCAAGGTTCCCTTTGGGCATGAATTGAAGGATGAGAGCTTTGAAGTTCGGTTTTGAACATATACTGATGATTTTGATAAGATTCCTGTGTCGGATCGTGCTCAAAGCTTTACATTCTGATTCGAAAGAGTTTGAAGCTCCTTTGACATCCAAGTTCAAGACTTTCACTGCTATAATCAATCCATCATCAAGACATCCTCTGTAAACTGAGCCAAAGCTCCCCTTTCCAACTAGATTGGCTTGGTTGAAATTGTCTGTTGCATGAACAAGCTCGTGATAAGAAACCAGTCTATGATCATCTAAACCTTGAAACTCAGTGTGCGCTACGTTTTCTTTCACCATCCTCCTACGACAGAGCACTAGCACAAGACACAAGCTAGCAGGAACAATCACAATGAGAGCAACAACTGGAAGGATATATTTAAGAATATGCAGTTTTCTCCTTGAACTTGAAGTTTCAACATTTGTATTACAAGGAGGGAAGTCTAGTTGAGGCGCACCACAAAGTGCTATGTTCCCCTCCAAAGATGGAATGCTGTGGTTCGCGAAAACTCGGCCTTTTGGAATTTGTCCTTCCAATTTGTTGAATGAAAGGTCTAGATTACCAAGAAGAGGAAGGTCACCTATTGACTTGTATATGGAGCCCGATAGAAAATTGTGAGATAGATTAAGATATTTGACATTTATTAGGGAACCGAGAGATTGTGGAATTTCACCTTGAAATGAGTTGCCAGAAAGATCAAGACGTGTAAGCATCACAAGCTGACCAAGGGCATTGGATATGTTACCTGACAACTTATTCACTGATAGATCCAAAACATCGAGGGCCTTCAAGTTTCCTACTTGTGGAGGAAGTAGTCCATGAAGGCTATTCCGCGAAAGATTTAGTTCGATTAGATTCCTTATGTTCCACAAGCTCATGGGAATGGTTGATGATAACTGGTTGGAAGATAGTGACAAGTGCTGTAGCTGGGTGATGTTACCTATTGAATCCGGTATAGGTCCAATGAGTTTGTTCTCATCAAGGTACAGTGCGCCTAAGCCTCTCATTGAATTGAGACTTGATGGCAGCAGTCCACTGATTTTGTTGCCACCAAGGTACAAAAGCTGAAGCTTGTCTAGCTTTGCAATATCCTGAGGTATTGTTGCGACTAGCTCGTTCGTACTAAGATCCAGAAGAAGAAGGCTGCTCAAGTTGCATAGTGTTGCAGGAATTTCTCCTCCTATGTTGTTTAGAGCCGCAGAAAAATAAATAAGATCAACAGAAAGATTTCCGATAGAATTCGGAACCACGCCTTCAAACGCATTTCGTGAAATGTCAAGATACACTAGATTCCTACAATTTGAAAGCGATGTGATGAAGTCAAGTCCTCCAGTGAATTGGTTTTGATTGATGAATAATCTGGTGAGCAATGGCAGGGACTTCCCAATTGTAACAGGAATCTCTCCCGTTAAATTGCTAGAAGTAACTTGGAGAAAAGTAAGGGTGGAAGCGTTCATAAGGGAGTTCGGTAAAGTACCACTCAACCTATTAGGACCAAGACTTAGATTTTCAATATTTGGTAGATACCCAAGCTCCCCGGGAATTACTCCTTTGATTTTATTGAAGGCTAGCTCGATTGTTATCGCATTTGTGAGGTTTCCAAAGGATGATGGTATTGTTCCGGTTAGACTATTATTCCCAAGATACAATTGTCTAAGCTCTGAAAGGTTGCCAAGCTTGTCAGGTATGGCTCCAATCAACTGATTGGATGTCAAAGAAAGAATTTGAAGGCCCTTGCATTGAGCAAGGCTTGAAGGGATCTCACCCGTTAACTGATTAAGCGAGAGACTGATCTCTTCGAGATTGACTAGATTTCCCAAATCCTTAGGAATTTCCCCTTCGAACCCGTTAAAGCTTAGTTCAAGAATGGTAAGCTTCGTAAGATTCCCTAGAGAATTTGGGATTCTTCCAGTCAACTGATTTTTTCCAAGAAATAACACGTTGAGATTTGACAGGTGGCCAAACTCAGCAGGTATGGTGCCTGTAAACCCATTGTATGACAAGGAGAAAGTTTCAAGGCTCCTGGATTCAGCAAATGCAGATGGAATCTCACCTGTCAACTGATTAGCTGAGAGAGAGAGAAATTCAAGGCGAGGGAGCACGACGAAGCTGTTGTTCGATGGCAGAGTGCCCGTGAGATTGTTATAAACAAGAGATAACAAGACCAGTGAAGACATGTTGAATATACTGGTAGGAATGGGACCAGATAGGAAGTTATCTTGGAGAATGAGCCTCTTCAGACGCGGTAACCGAGCAAGGGACGGAGGGATGGGGCCTCTAAGGCTGCAGTTTGCAAGGTCGAGCTCTGAGAGGAAAGAGAGGTTGCCAAGGTGAGGGGAGACACTGCCCTGAAGGCGGAAATCTCGGAGTTTGATGGAAGTGACTCGTTGATGACGACTGCCGCAAGAGACTCCGACCCAGCTGCAGAAGGAGGTGTTGGTGGTCCAGTTGGTGGCCAGCATGCCATAAGGGTCGTCGATTTGAGCTTTGAAGGACAACAGAGATTCGACATCAGTGATGTCGGTGAATGTCCTTCTTGATGCTGCACGGTGAGATAAAGAGGAGGTGAGCATTAAAAGAACCTTCACGTACAGAAGGAAAAAGGGTTGCAACTCCATGAGGTAACTGTTATAAACAGAGAAATTATGGAGTTGGGAGAGGGAGTTCCAGTCTGTGCGGACAGAAGTTTGGAGCTTCATAGTTAGTTTATAATGTCACACCGGCCGGTAGTTGAGACAAAATGACAAAAATGACGTTGAAGTTAGCTCTAGACAAGTAAACCCTCAAGAACAGAGCATAGAATCCTATGATACCGAAATATATAAACAAGCATGTTCATTTTAAATGCTTAATCTTTGAGGACCCTCAGAATGTATGAGTCATGGAAAAATGCTCTAACTAAAAAAAAGAAAAAAAAATTCTCTACATAATCATCCTATCCTTGAAGATAACAACACAATCATATTATAGGCAGGTAAAAGATTCCCCGTCTAAATCCAAACCCCCTCCCAGAAGTACAAAGATTAAAAAGTGATGTGCAAGCTTCCTTCACCGAGGGATTTTAAACTATTATCCAATGTCGATGTTAAGGAGATGAGATTAATTAATGACGATCTTTCATTGCTCAGGTTAGGAAATGGGTAATCGCCTTTGAGTGGTGGGGGACTTGGTATCCTATTTGAAAACATGATTACCAAGCCGAAGACATGGGTTCAATTTCACAGCAAGATTAAGAGCTTAAGTGAAGCTTTAGATAAATAACCAGTATCTGTTTAAGCTGAAAAATAGCGGATAAAGCTTTACAAAAATTAATGATTTTACCAAAGAATATGCGCAAATTATACAAGCGACTGTTGCGCGCAGCGAAAATTTCGGCAGCACTTCGGTGTTGTGCGCAGCGGAAATTTCGGCAGAATTTCTGGTGCACAATAAGAGAGAAAGATCGATAAGAATTCCCGTCTCACCAAGGAGACAAGAATCTGAAGCGGATATCTCAACCAAGTGAGATATCGGCTCTTCCTCTCATCAGTTCTAGGACTGACCTGTCGAGGGATCCTAAAACTATTACAATTGCCACAAACTCAAACAAATTAATTTTTACGTGGTTCGGCAAACTGCCTACGTCCACGGGGCAAGGAGGGGGGAGATCTACTATTAGAGGGGAGAGAATACAAGTAGGGTTTACAATCACTCAATCTAAACCCTAACACAATCTCTCAAACCTCTCACACAATTATCTCTCAAAAGGGAAACACAAATAAAAGAACAACTGTAAAAGGACTTTGCTTTCCTCTGTGAATAGCCGCCTAAAAAAAAACCTCTGTACGCTGCCCTGCTTTTCACCTGCACCCAGCCCCTCTCTGCTCTCAGCCACCTTTTCTTTGCTCTGTACCTTTTTCTCCTCCTGCGCTTGCACCAAGCCGCACTAGGTTACGAATTGTTGGTTATTTATAACATAGGAAATCGGGTCTTTGGGTGGGCCATCATGCAACCGCTGGACAATCCCCTTTAAACCGCTGGATCCAAACTTCCTCCCACAACTTCATTCATGTGTTCACACTTGGAGTTCGTTCCAAACAAAACGTGGGTGGTCCCCACATGTCTTCACACACACGGTTTCACAATTCAACAATTCTCCACCTCGGCGAAGTTTTCTCAAAACTGAGCCGACACCAACCAAAACAAATGTCTCACTTGTTGTGTCCAGTACGAAGTACCCAAATGGCCGCGAACGACCTCAATCCAATAGAAGAGTTCGCAACCCTTCTCCAATATCATCAACTCTGCGGCTGATAGCACCTCCAATGGCCTCAAACACCTCCACCTGAGGCGAACCAATGGCCGTATCCAAACTATGTCTGCCAGCTGCACTCGATTCAAAACCCAACTCATCATCTGCATCCGAATCCAAATGACTTCCACGCTGTGTCACCTCAGCTGGAATCCCAACCAATGCAGAATGACCTGGAGTATGTGGGAAAATTCCCACCCAATGTGGAGTAGCATCAATCTCCACCCGCTGTGATACCTCTAAGGTCTGTCCAAAACTCTTCACCTGCTGAGAGTCAATCGGCTCCCTCATCGAAGCCTCATACAAAGTGACACTACCAGACCTATCTTCTAATGGAGTTTTACCTCCAATCACAGCAGTTGACAACTCTTTAATATGATGACCTAAATATGTCGAAGCCTCTGTCCAGAAACTCTTCTGCAGACCATTGCTTGACAACAAACACCGATCCTCCTCCAGCAAGGCACGGTTCTCCAAATTTGCCACCCTATCTAGTTGCCCCAAGATTTCCTTTCCAACGAAGTGTCTCGAAATGCCGTGAGCTCGGCTCCAATACAGAAATAGGTCCATCTTGTACCTCCCACCAGAATGGAGTACCTTCACCTTTCTGTCTATTACACACTTCTTCAATTTGTTGGATACTACTAGGACTTTCTCCAAAGGGGATTTGGTTGCAACCCAAACACGCCTAGAACAGCCACCAACAAAGGAAACTAAACGTCTATTACCTCCCAATGATGTCCCCTTGGAAGGCCCCCAAACATCCACGTGAACTCCTCCAGAACGACCCTTAGCACGGTGAATAGAGGTGCCACACTTCACCTCGGTCTTCTTGCTCACATCAACATGTTCACTGGACTTCAAACTGCAGGTCTTTGCACCCTCTTTCAATCTATGCGAGGAATCAATACTGGAATGGCCAAGCCCCAAATGCCGCAGTCTAGTCGAATCAACAGAAGTCGCCAGCTCTCCACCTGTCACTATACCTCCAGTCAAGTAATACAGGTTATTTCTCCTGACGCCCTTCATCAAAATACGAGAGTCTCTCGCAATCTCGAGAACCATGTCCTCAACACGAACCTTCAGACCCTCTCCAACCAAAGCTCCAATCGAGATCAAGTTCTTCCTCAAAGAAGGAACATATCTCACATCAACTCCCTAACCGTCCCGTCAAATATTTTTATGTGAATTCTTCCTATCCCAAGGATCTGGCATGCACGGTTATCAGCCATGTACACCACACCACTATCCACCAGCTTCTCAAAACTGGAGAACCATTCCCTTCTAGGGCACACATGATAGGTCGCACCACTATCCAACATCCATTCAGATTCCTCCGAATAGCTATCTGTAGGACTGATAGAAAGCGAATAAATAGAAGAGTCAGAATTATTACCATCCGATACGATGTTTGCTTCTGATGATGGTTGCTTCCCTTTTCCCTTCTGCTTATTCTTCATCCATTCGTCGAGCTTTGGGCAGTCTTTCTTCCAATGACCAGTCTCCTTGCACCAAGCACACTGATCTTTTCCTACTCTAGACTGTGACTTCCAATTCTTTCGGTTTGGACCCTTCCCTCTTGCGACCAACGCCTCCGCTACCGGCTCAACCGAAGCCTCCTTATCCTTCTTTCGAAGCTGATAATTCACAAGTGCAGCGGTGACCTCACTATACGAAAGTGATGCCTTCCCATTAATCAGAGTAAGAACGAAGGTCTCATATTCCTCGTCGGGCAAGGAACTCAACAACAGCAACGCCTTGTCCTCATCTTCAATCTTGACATCCACATTCGCCAAATCCGCAAGAAGCTTTGTGTAGTGGTTCATGTGATCTCTAATGGAGGTTCCCTTCTTCAACTGGAAACGATAAAGTCTCCTCTTCAAATGCAAGCGATTTTCCACACTCTTGGTCAAATACTTGCTTTCGAGAATCTCCCAAATCTTCTTCGCAGAAGTCTCATTCATCACATCATATTTTAGATCTTGAGTCAAACAAGACCTAATCACACCACACGCCGTTCGATTCATCTTCTTCCAAACCTTCTCTTCAATCTCATCTGGCTTGCCATCTAACTCCAATGTATCCTCCAAATTCTGCGCGTTCAGCGCATCCAAAACCTCGCATCTCCATAATCCAAAGTTGTTTGTGCCATTAAATTTCTCCACATCTATCTTCATAGAGTGGATATTCAAACTCTGAATGGTCTTCGCGCCAGAAGAACCACCCTCGACTCCCGAAGCACCTTCTTTCCCCGACATCTTACGCACCAACGAACAAAGAATAGATCCAAACTGAAAGATAGAGTCTTTACCAAAAGATCCCACCTTTATCACCAACGAAGTCCTAAACGGGCCTCCAAATTGATCTACTCCTCCAACCAAACCCTAGATCTGGAACCTGGGCTCTGATACCACTTGTTGTGCGCAGCGGAAATTTCGGCAGAGTTTCTGGTGCACAATAAGAGAGAAAGATCGATAAGAATTCTTGTTTCTCAAAGGGAACAAGAATCTGAAAGCCTAATATCCCATCAAAGTGCGGCTCTTCCTCTCATCAGTTCTAGGACTGACCTGTCGAGGGATCCTAAAACTATTACAATTGCCACAAACTCAAACAAATTAATTTTTACGTGGTTCGGCAAACTGCCTACGTCCACGGGGCAAGGAGGGGGGAGATCTACTATTAGAGGGAGAATACAAATAGGGTTTACAATCTCTCAAACTAAACCCTCAAACAATTTCTCAATCTCTCACACAAATATCCTCACAAAAGCTACACAAATCCCCTGAGATTTTTCTCCAAAGTCTGCGCTGCCAATTTGCCTCCCTGCTCTCTGCACTTGCGCCCAAAGAAGAAATGTACGCTGCCCTGCTTTTCACCTGCACCCAGCCCCTCTCTGCTCTCAGCCGCCTTTTCTTTGCTCTGTACCTTTTTCTCCTCCTGCGCTTGCACCAAGCCGCACTAGGTTACGAATTGTTGGTTATTTATAACATAGGAAATCGGGTCTTTGGGTGGGCCATCATGCAACCGCTGGACAATCCCCTTTAAACCGCTGGATCCAAACTTCCTCCCACAACTTCATTCATGTGTTCACACTTGGAGTTCGTTCCAAACAAAACGTGGGTGGTCCCCACATGTCTTCACACACACGGTTTTACAATTCAACATTCGGCAGCACAACAAGAGAGTCAGATCACAATAAGAATTCTCGTCTCACCAAGGAGACAAGAATCTAAAGCGGATATCTCAACCAAGTGAGATATCGGCTCTTCCTCTCATCGTGTTCTAGGACTGACCTGTCGA